AAATCACACTTGGGAGCTTATGGAAAAACCTCAAAATATGAAGATTATAGGAGTTAAATGGGTGTTAGAACCAAGTTAAATGCAGATGGATTAGTTAACCAGTATAAAGCAAGGCTAGTGGTGAAGGGTTATGCTCAAATCTACAGTGTTGATTTCTCTGAGACCTTTGCACCTATGGCAAGATTAGATACAATCAGGTTGTTGCTAGCAATTGCAGCACAAAAAGGCTAGAAGGTCGCTAGATGTTAAATCAGCCTTTTTGAACGGTTTTTTGTAGGAGGAAATATATGTAGAGCAGCTAGAGGGATTTGTTATGCAGGGGCATGAGAATAAAGTGTATTTGTTGAAAAAGGCGTTATATGGTCTTAAACAGGCGCCAAGGGCTTGGTACAGCAGGATAGATAACCACTTATTAAGCCTAGGCTTTGTAAAAAGCCTAAGTGAATTTACTCTGTACGTGAAGGAGGCTACTGACTTAATTGTTGTGTCTATTTATGTTCATGACTTGCTTATAATAGGGAGCAATGAGAAGCTTATAAAGGACTTTAAAGCAGAGATGCTTAAGGTGTTTGAGATGACAGATTTGGGCTTGATGTCCTATTTTCTAGGAATGGAAATAAAGCAAAGGTATCATGAAGTCTTTATCTGCCAACAAAAGTATGCAAAGGAGATCCTCAAAAAAATTTCACATGGAAGACTGCAAAGCTACATCAACTCCTATGAATCAGAAAAAGAAATTCAGCAAGGATGATGGAGCTGATAAGGTTGATGAAGGTTTGTACAGACGCTTGATTGGTTGCTTAATGTATCTTACAACAACTTGAGCTGATATAATGCATGCTGTGAGTTTGCTTTCGAGGTTTATGCACTGTGCAAGTGAGGTGCATTTTCAAGCTGCAAAGAGGATCTGAGTTGTGGATCAGGCATGTTCTCCTGATGTTCAAGGAAGCAAGAGATTATTGTACAAAGTACTGCTGAAGCTGAATATGTGGCTGCTACAACAGCCGTAAACCAAGCCCTGTGGTTTAGGAAAGTGTTCACAAATTTGCATATGGAACAGGAGGAGTCCACACAAATCTTTGTTGATAACCAAGCTGCTATATCAATATCTAACAATCCAGCTTTCCATAGGAAAACAAAGCATTTTAAGATTAAACTTTACTTTCTCAGGGAAGTACAGAAAGAAGTATTGTTGCTCCATTGCAAAACAGAAAATCAGGACGCTGATATTTTGACAAAAGCACTTCCTAAAGCCAGGTTTGAATTCCTAAGGAGGAGTGTTGAAGAAGATGACTCAGCTGCTGATGTGTCATGCTGAGTAGACTGCTAAGATATTCAAAGATTGCTGAAATAAAGTTGCTGGAGTATTTTTGAATAAGTCAAAATGTTTGAAAGCTTCAAAGTAGTTGTTGCTAGAAAATAGGAAACTAGAAGATAAGCTCATGTATTCATGGGCTTGTGATGCTATTTCTTTGCAATTTGTTATGCATTTCTGTTATATTTCTCATCTATATAAAGCACTTTCTAGTCAATAAAATTGTGTGGTCATTTGACAGCTCATTTATGTTCTTATATGTTTTTTTGTTATTGTTTTTGTGAAAAATAACAACAATCGCACTTGTTAAAATGTGTGTGTGTGTGTGTGTTTTTTCTTTCCCTCTTTCCTATACAATGCTGGTTTTTAAAATTGCGTTACATATAGCTTCCTTTTGTGTTCACAGAAAAATGAGATGTTAAGCTTAATATAATAATAATAATATAAAGATATAAGTTGGTTTAAAACTTTTTTCCCACAAAACAGTTTGCTTATGGTTGACATCCCATTTTCCCCCAATTTTAATAAGGGTGGTAAGGATTTTATTTTAATATTTTTATTTTTTATTATTTTATTCTATTTATTTTAGTACTCACAAAAATATTCAGAATTTGTAGAAATGGAGCTCATCATTGAATCCGGAATGACCAAAGACCTTGAGAAACATGTTCCTGTCTAATTTAATCACTCACAGAATGAGATTTTGGCTATGAAACATTTCAACTAATCACAAAGTGCCACATGGCCAAAGCATATGGAACAGCCAACCAAAATATGCCACACAACAGGTGTATGGCACAGGTGCACATGATTGGAACGCCTATTAGCCTATTCAGCAGCAAAGCTCAGATCTGCAGAATCTGGTGCGCTGAGATGCACCGGATAATTTCTCCGGTTCGGCTGGCGTCTGGCTGACGTCAGTGGCTCAGTCAGCGGCTCGGTCAGCGGCTCAAGCTTGGTCAACGCGGCTCCGGCTCAACGGCTCGGCTTCGATCGGCTGATGATGTCGGCTGGCGTGGGCGCGTGCGGCGCGTGTCTGCGCGTGAACGCACGCGTCGTCTACCTCTGAAAGCGCATGCAGCGCGTGCGTGAGACTGGGCCGACGTGTCGACTCTCTTCACGGCGCGTGGGGGCGCGTGCAGCGACTGGGCCTCACGCGCCAACTTCCAGAGGCACGTGAGAGCGCATCCGGCCTCCGTTGGGCTCTATTTTTGCTGTTCTGGACTCCTCTCAGGGAGTTCTTCCTCCTGGTATGGTCAAAAGTGGATTTTGAGCACTTCAAAATCTGGGCACTTTCGGGAAAAATTCGATTTTTCGCAACCCGAGCTCTGATACCAATTGTTGCTGATCGGGGGCATACCAGGAAACTCAAACAAGCAATAACACACAAGATTTAACGTGGTTCGGCAAGTCGCCTACGTCCACGGGCAGCGGATTTCTCACCAAAACGACATTGTTTTGGTACACTACACAAGCAGTACAGACAGAAACACTACAGAGGATCTGAACTCCTCAAAGATTCTCTAATAGCTCTTTTTATTTTTAATCAATTTTCGTTAGTCCTGCAAGTTGTCATTGAAGTACACATATGAGTAAAAAAAGAGTAGCAAACCTGATTGGAAAATGAACCACTGAAGATGAGATGCCATTATTGACTTCTCCTGCTAGCTGCCACAGCCCATTGTTGTGCTTTCGGTGGCTTTACAGATTGAAGCTTCACATGGCTTCTCATGGCCTCATGGCCAACTCACATGGCCTCATGGCTTCCCCACCATGTAGCTGGCTAACATGGCCAGAATCTGTAGTCAATATTCAACAAGGAAAATGGACCATTGAGTGAAATGAGATGCCACTATTGACTTCTTTCATTATAATTATGCTTATACCATTATTTCACGGTTTTGATTTTGATTTTGATTTTTTTTTTTCTTTATTTTTAAAAAGAGTCAAGTCCCATGATACACGTCTTCATTTGTAGCAGGTTAGGTGGCTAATTTATTAGAATTTACTTTTCAAGAGCATTCTTTAGAGAGTATGTTTTGTTACTTGATCATATAAATGATGTAGAAGCGCAATTACTTGAACAAAGTTCTGATCCTTTTTTCAGATAAGTCGATGTTCTAAGGCATAGTGCTAGTTAGTCCCTTGGACATAATACCTTCCAAAATAAAAGGAGTCAAGTCTAAAGTGTTCTTTTAGACAAGGGATTTTCAAAAAGGAAAAAGACGGAAATACATACAAGTGGACATACATAATATATCCAAAGCCTTAATCTCATTTCTTCGCACTATTGTGTGCAGTTGTGGCCTTTGTTTGCACATCTAATGGTGGCTCAGTGTGAATGAGGAGACATTTTATTTGGCTTGGGTGAGTGTTGTATTGTGTTGTATATGACCCCTGCACATTGTGGGGTTGAAAGAGGATACATATTAGAGGGTATTGAAAAAGAGTGCAGCTGCTCATTTTTGTAAAGTTGGTTCGCATAGTTTTGGTACTGAAAAAGATTGACAATTTGAGATGCATATATGTGTAAATATATTCCTTTCTTGAAACAAAATGGTGAAACTGTTAATTAAGTTTTTAATAAGCAACTAGGTGAGGTGACTAATAAATTATTGAAACAGAACACCGGGATCACACAACTCAAATCTAGGGACGTTGCTAACTTTTAAATGTTTAATTTTTCAGAAATTTGATTATTATAGAGGCACTTGTGATGGAATATAAATGGTTAGTGAGCCTATGCTTTATCATACTCTTACATTTGTACCTAATCCATAAAAGAACTAGAAAATGATTTTAAAAATAAGAATAAAAAAAGACTAGAAACCAAGAAGTCCAAGGGGAATGAAAATTCAGCAATATTAAACATTATTCATAAAAGGCCGGCCTCTCTCTCTATTCATATCTCTTCCTGATCACATCCACCAATTATACAGAGAAATTAATAAAAAAGTTGGTAGCAAACAAACTAGAAAAATGGCCAATGAGATGAGACTCCATTATTGTTGACTTCTAATTTCTTCATACCCTTTCTTTCACCACTTCCTCATTTGCTTTTGGTCACAACTTACAATCTTCAGCTACTACACATTTGCAGAGCTTCTTCAAACTGTTTGTTCCTTCACAATCTTCAGCTACTACACATTTGCAGAGCTTCTTCAAACTGTTTGTTCCTTCACAATTCCAAAGTAGTTTGAAGTTCGCAGAGTTTCAGCCTGTTTTTGATCTCTGTATTGCTTCGTTTCTTACCTTTCATATTTTTTATCTACCAAAGTTGCTCCAAGTTTGCAGAGGTTCAGCCTGTTCTTGATCCCTGTATTGCTTCGTTTTGACTCAATTTCTTTCCTTTACCACCAAAGTCGTTCCAAGTTTGCAAAGGTTCTTCAACCTGTCTTTGATATCTGTATTGCTTGGTTTCATTACCTTCCCTTCTCTTCTTGTATTGAGTATTGACCATGTTTTTGATTTTTGCATTGCTTGGTTTGTATTGAGTTTACAACCTTTACCTACCAAAGTTATTCCTTCAGCCTGTTTTTCCATCTACGTGTTGCTTCCTTTCTTACCTTTCTTATCTTTTACCTACATACCAAAGTCGTTTGAAATTTGTAGAGGTTGTTCGACCTGTTTTTTTATCTTTGTTTTGCTTGGTTTCATTATCTTTCCTTCTTTCTGAAAAAACACCATGGACGTATTTGGGATCTTTATCTCTCCATTTGTGCAAGCTACGATTGATAAATTGTCCTCTTATTTAATCAACTTAGTGAGCACAGCGGACGTTGGCACTAGCATCCAGAATCTGAAGAAGGCATTAGAGGATTTAGAGACTCTGTTGGCTGATGCAGAGAACAAACAAGTGTACGATAAGGATATCAAAAAGTGGCTAGAAGAGGTTCAATCTTTGGCTTACGATGCAGATGACTTGTTGGATGATTTTGCCACTGAAGCTCTTGAAAGGAAGCTAATGGCGGAGGAGACAACGATGGGAAGAAGACCAGCTAAGTTTCCACGTCTCTCTTCTATTGTTCCATTCAATTCAAAAACTGGATCAAAGCTAAATGAGATTACAAGTCAATTACAAGAAGTTGCTACAAAAGCAAAAGATCTTGGTTTGGATAAAAGACCTGCTGGGAGGATGTCTACAGATCTATGGCAGAGATCACAAACTACATGTTTGAAAGAGCCTCACATTCATGGCAGAGATGAAGACATGAAGCAAATTATCGAATTGCTACTTGGGGATGCACCTACTGCAAAAAAGTTTGATGTAATTCCTATTGTCGGCATGGGTGGGATCGGCAAGACTACACTAGCTCAGCACATTTATGATCACGACAAAGTGGAAAAGCATTTCAATATGAAAGCATGGGTTTGTGTTTCTGTTGACTTTGACATTCTAGGAACAACAAAGGCAATTCTCGAGTCATTCACTCACCGTCCATGTGATTTGGGCAAGTTAAATGAGGTTCAAGTCCAACTAAGAGACACACTGGCAGAAAAAAAGTTTTTGCTTGTCCTAGATGATGTGTGGCACTATGGACATGATGGGTGGAATTCGCTACGATTGCCATTTGGAGCCGGAGCACCTGGAAGTAAAATCATTGTGACAACGCGAGAAGGAGTTGTTGCAAAGCAGATGGGTATGGATGAATATCTCAACTTGAAAAAGTTTTCATATGATGATTGTTGGTTAATCTTTTACCATCATGCATTTGAGAATAGAAATATCATGGAATGCCCAGAATTGGTATCAATTGGGAAGAAAATTGTTGAGCATAGGTGCGGAGGCTTGCCCTTGGCAGCTAGGGCCCTTGGCAGCTTATTACAATGTAAACAAGAAGAGCATGAATGGAAAGAAATACTAAATAGCAATATATGGAATGAGGAAAGTGGCATTCTCTCAGCATTGAAATTGAGCTACCTTCATCTCCCTTCCCATTTGAAGAGGTGCTTTTCTTACTGCGCAATTATCCCAAAGGACTACGAATTCAAGGAGGAGGAATTAGTCTTGCTATGGATGGCTGAAAGTTTAATTGAGCAACCAAAAGTTGGAGACGAAATGGAAGATTTAGGCCGCAAGTATTTTCACGAATTGGTGTCAAGATCATTTTTTCAACCGTCAAGTGGTAACAAATCGAAATTCATAATGCATGACCTCATCAATGATATGGCTCAAGATGTCGTGGGGGACAAATGTTTTAGGTTGGAGAATAATTTGGAGTATGGCAGGCATGACAAGATTTCGGAAAAAGCTCGACATTCATCTTACGTTGGTAGCACTTATCAAGGAATCAAAAAATTTAAAGTTTTTGATGATGCCAAATGCTTACGAACATTCTTAGAATTTTTGCCACAACAACAATTTCACTACGTAACGAGGTACTTGATACATGATTTGTTGCCAAATTTAAAATGCTTACGCGAGTTGCGTTTGTGTGGTATTGGTATAATTGAACTACCATATTCCATTGGAGATCTAAAGCATTTGCGGTATCTTGATGTATCCGGTTCTAGGATTACAAGGTTACCTGACACAGTGGTAACTCTCTACAATTTACAAGTCTTATTTTTGAAATTTTGTCTTCAACTTCAGAAGCTGCCTCTAAACATGGGGAGGCTAGTGAACTTGCGCCATTTTGACATGACTGGCGTGGATATTCCATCATCAGAAGAGATGTCGCTACATATAGGTAAATTAACTAATCTCCAAACATTGTCAAATTTTATGGTGGGTAAAGATTGTGGGCGTAAAATAAGAGAGTTGAAAAACCTATCGCACATTCGAGGGGCAATACACATATCAAGACTGGAGAATGTCAGTGGTGTTAAGGATGCAAGGGATGCCAATTTAATGTCTAAGGAGGAGTTAAAAGAGTTATCACTAGAATGGGATGAATCTCACCGTTCACAGAATGACATAGTTGAGAGGGATGTGCTTGACTTGATGAGACCTTTCAAATTGTTGGAACGACTCACCATCATTGGGTATAGCAGTACAAAATTTCCAAACTGGGTTGGAGATGTTTCATACTCTAAAATGGTGTTCATGCGATTAAAAGGTAGCAAATATTGCATATCTTTGCCACCACTTGGACAACTACCCTTGCTTAAAGACCTTTACATTGAAGGAATGAGTGCAATAAAGCGCCTGGGTTGTGAGTTCTATGGGCAGCAGTGTGGTGCCAAACCTTTCCCCTCTCTAGAGAGACTTTGCTAGTTTTTCTTTGATGTTTTGATTGAGTCTTCAACTCATGTTCTAAAGAGAGTACATCAAAGGTTGTGTTTTGTTCTACAAAAGAGAGAGTTGTTCTTCAGTTGTGGATTCTGAAGAATTCGTGCCTGAAGCTTTGGTGGAATCCGGAGTGGCTCATCAGAAAGACAATTCCGTGGTGAAGATGGGGCTGGAAGAGGGACATAGAGGTTGGTTCAATTAGGCGTTGTGGATTCGCTAGGTAATTGAGAGTATACCTGTGTAATTCCTTTAAATCTTCTTAGTGGATTGTTCTTGTGGCTGTTGCCCGTGGTTTTTTGATCACAGTTGGAGGTGTCCAATTGTGGTTTTTTCCACGTTAAATTGCTGTGTTTCTTTGTCTTGATTGTTTGATTGGGCTTGTTATATTCTGCTTAAAATTGATACATAATCACAAATCAACATCTAGGGGATTTCTAGATTTTTCAGTCTGCTTTTGAAAATGAGGGAGTTCAGCCATTTGGTCATCTCAGTGAGCTTTCCATCATAAATTGTCCCAAACTTGTTGGAAGATTACCAAATGATCTTCCTTGTCTCAATTCTCTCAAAATTGATGGTTGTCCGCAGTTGTTGATTGATGTTTCGAGCCTCGTACAGCCATCACTTGCGTCCTTGTCAATGAATAATGTTATGCTCCCAAGCCTTCCAGCACTCTTAGGGACGAAGAACAAGATTGAACTTGGTTTCCTCACCTTGGATATTAGCCATGTTACAGTTCTCGACTCCTTGTGCGATCCAAGCACAACTGATGCAGAGTTACTTGCTAATGCAATGTCTAAGCATTTTACTTCAATAACCGCTTTGAGCATTTCTGATGTTGAAAAACTGGCGTTCCTACCGACATGGTTTACTCGAGATTTGATGAGACTCAAGAAATTGGACATTAGTAACTGCCAAGAACTCATAACATTGTGGCGGAATAAGGTGAGAATACAAGTATGTCTCCCTTCCCTCTGCCATTTGAAGATTTTTCATTGCCCCAAACTCATTTGCTTGTTTGAAGAAGAGCAAGAAAAAGGAAAAGGCTTAAAGAAGTAGCAACATGAGAGGCTGCCTTGCATGACGAGACTCGACTATTTAACAATTGAAGAGTGTGGAATGCTGAAGAAACTGCCACAAGATCTGCACACATATTCATCTCTTGGGGTGCTTAGAATCCACGATTGTGCAAGCCTTATCTCTTTTCCAATGAAGGGTTTGCCATCTATGCTGAGAGAACTTAGGGTTACAAAGTGTGATGCTTTGCAGTCCCTACCCGAGTTGATGACACTCAATAATCTGCAAGAGTTGCGGGTTTCTAAATGTGCATCACTCACATATCTATTGTCAAGAGGTGAGCTACCATCCACACTAAAACAACTTGGGATTGAGTTTTGTGAAAATCTGGAGTCACTTTTTGCAGAGGAAGGGATCAAAATTGATTGTCCATCTTTTGAAAATATTGAAATTATGGGTTGCAGCAGTCTCAAATCTTTACCTGAAGCCAATAATCTCAAGAATCTCAGTGAATTACAGATATACGATTGTTATAATCTGGAGCCCCTGTCACTTGGTGGTCATGATGAGAACAACAACATCAACCAACTCACTTCGCTTCAAGAGCTGGTTTTATTTGGTTGCTTGATTGCAGAGCAGGAATGGTCTCCTACTTTGTGAAGGAAGGGAGTTTCCCCACCAACATCACTTCACTTGAAATCGGGAATTTGAACGTGGGTCAACTTCCAGTTCCACCTCCATCTCCATTAGAGTGGGGTTTGCACAAACTCTCTTCTCTTACAACACTCAGACTTGATGGCGGAGGTTGGCCGTGGGGAGATACGGTGTCCTTTCCAGAAGAAGGGATGTTCCTGCCCACCTCTCTCAACAATTTTACCATCTGGAACTTCCGAAATCTGGAAAGACTCTCTTATGAGGAGTTTCAAAACCTCACCTCTCTTGAAAGACTTGAAATCTTGAGTTGCCCTAGGCTCGCGTCCTTTCCAAAGGAAGGGTTGCCTCCCTCTCTTTTGCATCTATGGATCGATGACTGCCCTGAGCTTGCGACCTTTCCAGAACAAGGATTCCCTCCCTCGCTTTTGTCACTGAAGATCTATATATGTAATCCAATACTGAAACTGAAGTGTGAAAAGGGGAAAGAATATTGGCCCATCATCCAATACATTCCTCTAGTACGAGTAAATTTACGTTAAGCAGCCAACTGCAAGGTACAAACAAACAAACACAAAATCTTTGGTATCGTTTTTATTTATTTATATATTTTTTCATTACCAATACCATTCCAGATTTTTATCACAACTGAGTGTTTACTATTTACTTCTTTTGAATCGTGAGAGAGTTTCAGTTTAGTGTAAATGTTGAAATTATCAATACATTACTGATTACCCACGCTGCTCTGCTTTTCAATTCATTATTTGTGTTTTTCTTTCAAATATTTCCTTTTCTCTTAATTTTCCACTATCTTGGATTAAGTAATTTGGAGAGAAAAGAAAAAAAAATTAAGCAATATGTATTTCTCTTACTTGTTTTGATAATTTAAGTGAGAAAAAATTGTGAGAATCCGAATATACAAATAAAATAAATAATTAAATAATAATTATTTTACAAATCTCAAATATTTTACTTGTAAATCTTAAGGTACAAATTAAATATTACTGAATAATCATTTAATTAATTTTAAACTATAAATAAATTTTTATGGAAGTCCATAATTTTAAAGACTATTAATAATAATAATAAAATAGTTAGTAAGGGGTCATTTTGAAAATTTAATATAGGAGGATAAAACCCTAATGGTGAGATATCAATTCTTTTCTAAACTATCCTTGCAGCCACCATGAGATATAAAGAAAAGAGAGAGGAGGGTGTCATTTGCGAAGGAAATTAAAGAAGGAAAAATGACTTGTTAAGCATGTATGTTGTTTTCTTTAATTAAGACCATGCTAATCATTGAGTTGTTGAAGTCATTGTTTTGTGTGGACGATGGATGGTGGTGTGAAGCTAGGGGTTGGTGATGGGAAGTTTTGGGTTGCAATGGTGGACGGAAATTCTTGATCATAAAATCACAAACTTTAATAATCAAGAAACCATATCAAACGGATGACTTTCAAACTGAAATTTTTACAGTAGATTAATTACATATTGAATTGTATACTAGAATTTTCTTATAATTTTTGGGAGTCCAAATCCATATAAACTGATGAGTTCAAATCTATCCAGAAAATTGGTGTAAAACAATAACTTCGAAAGTGTTGTTCTCTTTGGTTATAAATCCAAAAATTATCAAAGTAGCATCATTAGAACCGGTTACGAGTCTGGTTTCTTACATTTTTGGCCTTGCATTGATTTCTTGTGCATATTAAGAGAACCATTAATTTCTTGAAAGTGCTGCAGAAAATAATTTGTTTGGATATAATTAATTGTAAATAATTATTTTGATAAGAAAATCAAGTGAAACTATTTGGGTTTGAAACTTAGGATATATTAGTTGATATCTGGAGGGTTTTGAAATTTTTTGAACAGTGTGGAGTGGGTTTTTAATTTTCAAAGTTAGCGAATAGATTGGAAAAATCTGTTAAAAACTCTGTTTTATCTTAAAGTTACTTTTAATTAAGTTTCGATCTGAACCCATGTCTTGGTTAATTTTAGACTTTGAAGAACATGAACTTAGGTATTATTTAAGAGGATTAGTGAGTGGGGTTGAACTATGTTAGTGCACTTTAGTGTGGGGTACTTAGCTTATTATTCTCTTTAGTATTTTTAAATTAGTAGTGACGTGTAATTTTCATACTTGGTTCAGGGCATTAGTTGGACTTTCATACTCGATTCGAGGATAACATTATTCTGTTTTCAGGTGCGTAGTTGCATGCTGCATATTTTTATAAATGTTCCCCTACCCTGAACTGTTGGAAAATTAAATTGTTATTTCAAGACTAAACTATTTTAATAAATTATTATATTATTAGTGGAATTAAATTATTTCTGAAAGATGTGTAAACTTGGCATACTATAAACTATTTGTTATGGTCTCATGTTTATAATGGTGAACTACCATATTTTGCAAAACTTAATTGTATTGATTATCGGGACCATCTATATATTTTAGTCCAGGAAAATTATTTCATTGTGTGTGGTGACTTTGGCCACGAGGAAACAGATCCGGATTGGGCCGTGATGACTCTAGTGCTCAACGATTGTAAGGAAAAGACCTAGGATAGGCTTGGTGACCTTCAATCGGATCGTCTTAGAGAAAAGGCTCGGGTTGCTACCTTGAGGATGACTCTTAGTTCAATATTGGATCCAACAGGCTTATTGCCTTGAGAACTGTGTGACTTGTTACTTGTTATTCTTGGTACCCAGAAAATTATTGGTGTTCATGTTGTAATCTGTTTTAAGTAGAAAATGTCATTTATCATGTTCTTGAGAGACATGAGTATTTTAACTGTTGAACTGTAGAACCTTCTCTTTGAACATATTATCTTTATCAAAACTATATGCCAATCTAGTTTCTGTGATATGTATATCTTATTCTGGAATTGAACCATATTTTCAAAACTGTATTTACTATCCATGTTGCTACTCACTGTAGCGATCCCGATTTTGACCCGATCAGCTCGCCGAAAGCAAAAATGCAAAATGCATTCGAAATTGCTTATGGGAAAGTGTATTTCACGCTCGAGTGACCTTGTTATATCAATCCGTAGATTAGGGTTTCAGATCACTTTTTGCAGCTCTCTCTCTCTCTCAAACTCTCCAAATTTCCAAGTCTAGAGCTTCTCTCTCTAGAAGTCATCTTTTCTCTTTGATTTCTCCAAATCCATTGGGATTTAGGCCTAAGTTCTTCACTAAAGTTTGTTATCACCTCGAGGGCTTCATTGTGTGCGGTGGAGATTGAGTTTCGACACCATAGATTTTGGGGTTTCATCTCAGATTCTCTTCAAAACTTGAGGTAGGGATTTTCTACACTATAA